AAATAGTATAATATAATAAACTAGTATATTCAATATATGTTAGTATTAACTAATAAGTAATAACCAAATAGAACTTATATTCACCTCAGATGAACTACTTTGTTCAACAAAAATATCTCTGCAAGATTCAATAACCTAAAAATGTCAACTAATGTTTTTTAATTAAAAGTTTTAAGTTTGAATGAATTCAATAAATATGTATACCTATAATTGTAGGTATATAAATAATGAACATTCAAATGTAAAAAAAAATTATTAGTTATACTATAATTTACATTGGGCAATCCTTGAATTACAATAAATTTCCACTGTTTCAAATTTGAATAAACCCAGCTCTATGGCCAGCGATAGGTATTAATTCTTTGATTATTTTATAATTTAGACAGGGAAACGTCTTCATGTCAATGTCATTTCAATTGGCTATTCAAAACAAAACATCTTTAAATTGTAATGAACTTAGCTTTTCTTAGCAAAAAAATATTTGATTTTTGAGAAAAGTCAGTTTCCTAATGTAAGTATAGGCGATCAAGATATTGTATATATGAAATATATATTTTTATTTGCATAGTATTGAAATTGATTATAATTATTTTAATATTTAAAGAGAACATCGCACTCACATGTGTTATCTTACTAATGTACTATATGAACAGAATCCATGTTATGTAAGATTAAATATTAGAATAAATTTACCTATTATCAATCTTAAATATGAGAACTATTTTAATGTTAAAATAGAAAAATAATTCAAATATTTGACTTTGATTCTCTGTATAGTTTGTACCTACCTCTAACGTAAAAAACATAAGTCTTATCCCTCATACATTGTCTACGACATGTTAAACACAGCGAACATCTATGCAGAAATTATTATACTATAATCCATCGTTTCCCAACTTCTTTTACTCGCGTAACCTTTGTAAGAGTGTTTGTTTTGTGGAACCCCCATATTTTTTCTATAATAGTTATGCATACATGTTTTATACACTTAAATGAGTGGGTTGTCGGATACTTCCAACTTAAGAGTGTCAGTAATATATTATAAGGAAACATCCTAACGAGAAGAGGAGCTATTCTATATCCGAATCATAATTCAAATAAAAATATTATTAATTCATTTACATTTCTCAAATTCCTCACGGAACCTTTGGCACTGGCTTAAATAATAACCTTCCGCGGAACACCAGTTGGGAAACACTGCTATAATCCGTTTATTATAATACCCTAGTTTATATATATTTTGAATTTATTATTTATACGTTTCATAATTATTATTATTATTATTATTATTATTACTATTATCATCGTCATATCACATTGTTATAATATTCTAAAATTATGAACTATTTAAATAGTGCGTAATGTTATGTAAGATTAAATATTAGAATAAATTTACCTATTATCAATCTTAAATGTGAGAACATTATCTAAGCATCTCATAGGATTTTATGGAAATTTTCATTTTAAAGTGAGTAGTAGTAAGTTGTAATAGTAACATAAAATCCTATGGGATGCTTTAGATAACGTTCTCACATTTAAGATTGATAATAGGTAAATTTATTCTAATATTTAATCTTACATAACATTACGCACTATTTACCCACTCATTTAAGTGTACAAAACATATGTATGCATTACTATTATAGAAAAAATATGGGGTTTCCACAAAACAAACACTCTTACAAAGGTTCCGCGAGTAAAAGAAGTTGGGAAACGCTGGATTATAGTATAACAATTTCTGCATAGATATTTGATAAATCATTAAAAATATTATTATCAGGAGTTTAAATTAATGACATGGAAAACAAAAAATTATGAACATTGAACAAACATCATATAATAAAATCAATGTTGCCTAAACGAAAAAAGACTTGTACTGAAAAGTTTAAATTTTTAAACAATTATTACGTATATCAGTCAGTAATTGTGAGTAATTGTGTTATCAAAATTATAACATGATAAGATACAAATGACCCACTAATAAGTAGTAATGGCGGATAGGTACCCTTGCGGCTTCAAATGTTTATACGGCGGGGTTCGTTTAGTACATTTATTATCTATATCTATGAGCGCTACCTAGACGTAGATATCGCAACGTTCTGTGAAGTTATCATGTTTATAATACACTTACGTACATTTTACCTATCAATCAGAAAACGATTAGTGTGCAGTCCATAGTTTAAGATAAATATGTTGGTGTTGTAATATTTTAAAGAGTGAAGTGTCTTTACCAGAAACAAGTTTACACAATTTCCGACCATGTAATTGTATCTGTTAGTAAAATGTAAGTACTTAATTGAATCCCTACTAAAAAAAAAAACAATCATTTTTCGTTTTATAAAATATGATTGTTTAATATCAACATAAGGTAGTGTAATGACTTCTATTTTGTTTATATTATACAAAACTCAGTATGTAATCTATTTTAGTTGGATGGTTAATTACATGATCTAATGATACTTGTCTGCTTTTCGATTGATGATATGAATTAAGTTCATAAATGCCTTTGTGACAGAACCTTATACTAAATAATGATAAAACAATGTTTATGATTTTTCCATTAAGAAGATTTTCATAAATGTCAATTCAATAACAATACTGCACTTTAAAGAAAACATTCAACATGTAAACGTATTAAAGAAATTTCAAGAATAAAATATTCATGTATTATTGTTTATAACAACTTAAGATGACATTTACAATTGCATTATATAGTAGAGAAGCTACAAACTATAACATATCTTTTTATTAAACTCAAAAACTTGATACCTAAACAAATTATTCGTTCCTATGATAAATTTTGTTTTGTATCAATCGATTTATCTATGATGATTAAGTTTAAAGCTTGACAAGAAAATATGAATTCACTTTACAAAACTTTAAACGAGTAAAAATGACAACATTTTTTATGAATTAATGACCTGTGATTTAATTTAAGTAATTTTTTTTAGGGAAGTTGGAGAGCAAACTCTTACAGAAACCCACTAGTTGCAGCTATAGCTGGTAAGTTCTTATCTAACAGAGTACCTATACATATTATAGATAATTATACAGGTATATTTAAGTTATAAACTATCCTAGATTGATACAAATTTTATAATCAAGTTGAAACATTTATATTTGTATTGACACACATTGACATTTTATAATTTTATCAATTTACACTTTACTAATGAGATCAATAATTATTTTACTGTGATTGATTTTTCCACATGGTTTTTATTTGTATCTGTTGAATGTAATATAAAATTCTGAGTATCGTGTGTATGTGGTGTTCAAGGTTAGGATATGCACAGAGTGCGCCAAACTCTCAGGATAGTGGGTATCTACTGACGATGAGACGATAAGAGAGTGACCAGTTGCTCCATACTAGTGTCCTACTAAGTAAAGTGCTATTGATAAGAGGTAAATGTAATAAAAGACTTATGAGTTATAGCTTTATGAGTATCAACTGACATTCTGCTTGTTTTTTTTAAATTGTAAATCATCCTTATAATTTATAATGTATCATTAATATGAGAGAAATTAATTTCACGTACACATTAGGTATATTAAAATCTTTAAATAATTTTCCAAATATTTAGTACTTTTTTTCTGTGTAATCAAGGCCTCAGGGGTACATATTTCTTGAACTTGTTACTGTGTACTGTATAAAACAGTTCTATGTACTTACTCTCTTCTGTTCTGTATATGATCTCCTTAACATACAGTAAGTACCATTTTAATTATTCATTGGAATTTTCTAATGTATGATTTATAAATAAATAAAGTGCATTTGTTTAGTTGACAATTTTTCAATGTCTCAACATTTCAGTTGAGAGGAACTTATCTATTGTGACAAATATGATGTTCACATTAAACGAAAAAAAAACATTATGCTTACGATATATTTCTAAATTGTCATAACTTATAACAAATTTAGTACTTCATTTATTGTCAAGACTTTTGCCAAAAAAAAAGTAATTTGTTTATTAACATTCAGAAACAAACTGAAAACTGTTGATAATTTCAAACGCTTAGAAATAGCTCAACAATTTCAAAAATATTTAAAATAATTTTATCATGTCAAGAAATTAATAAAATAAAATATGTTTTGTGAAAATGTGAAGTATTGAACTATCTTTAGGGTTCAGAAACTATCTTTTTTTTTTAGAATTACAATAAAATAAACAAACTGATTTCGTCAAAAATATTATTTATAACAATTTTACAGATCAAGTTTCTTATATGAAATCAGCCTACCATAAAATTTGCATTAAAAAATTAGTTTTGAATTTTGAATTAAACATAATTGAAATTGTCTGTTCATTACATATTGGCTTGTGACTAGACACTTAAACAATTAATACACAATAGTAATATGTACATCATTATTAGTTTTTTACTATATAATTTATTAGATACTAGGTACTAACATTTTTTACTGTTTACTATATCTAAGAACTTATCAAGCAGATCAAGTTGATCATCTGAAAAACTCAGTATAACATTTAATGTAATAAATAATAATTTAGAATTGAAGTTGTGAAAACTACATGTCAGATTTTGAATTAACTAATACAAATTTCAAAAAATATTTATTTTTCACTTCAGAGTTTAGACAGTGGTTGTTGTTAGATGGATTTTTAAGTAATACATTTTAATGCATAATAGTGTTTGTATCATGGTAATTTTTATGATTTCATATGTTTAACAAAACGATAATACTTTAGTATTATTTTAAAAAGCAAGAAACTGTTTATTTAAAACACTTGTGGATCAAGTCATAAATATAGATAACTTTTAATGGAACAAGCATTAGTTAATTATGGATTATAGAATAATAATAGAGTAAATTTATTTTAATTTTAAAATGTACTTATATTATACCATAGTTAAATTAAACTTATAAGTTATAAGTGTTAATTTCTATGATTTTACGCTAATTTATTTAAATTACTTCAAGTGTAAAAAGTATGTGATGTATGAGTATTTAAACAGTAATTACTTAAAGCTTTTAGATTTCCACATCAGACAACATCTATTGATCCTCAATATACACTTCGTACAATGGCGTCAGTTCGGCATACTTTAAAACCACCTCAACCAGCTACTCTTAGTGAAATGGGAAGCATAATTACTAGTCCTCTATTTCCACAATTGATGAATGTTGAGGGTTCTAATGAGCCTTTTTTCCAAGGAAATTTGGAACATGTTTCTGAAGTTGGAGATGTTATTTTTGACGGGTTGGTATTTGCAAACCGACAATTCATTGAAAGAAATATAAATTTTTTCCGAGCGACTAGAGTATTGGGAATTGATGGCACTTTCCAGGTCTTCCCTTCCCATCTAACTTGCATAGCTCAGTTAGCTATTGTATATATTATTGTGGACGACATGGTACGTTTTGTGCATTATTGTAAATTTAATAAATAATTTGCTATTAAGCTGTTTATAAAGATATAATATCTAGTGGTTATAAATATTAAATTTATTTATTTATTTATTTATTTATACTTTAGATTTCCCTATTTGCAACCCTGGGCAAGTTAATGATAATTTTTAACCTAGTTAAGTTGATATAGAACATTTTAGCTCATATTTTATTAAGTTTATATCAATAAAAATCAGTTAAGTTAAAAATTTCGTAAATTAAAATGAAAATGAACTTTATTTAAACTTTTTAATTTGAATATGCCCAGGCTTGTCTATTAGTATAACTTATATCATTGATAATTCATCTTAATTTTGTGCAGTTTATTCCCATAGTCTATGCATTTCTAAAACTTAAAAATGTGGCTGCTTATAAAAGACTATGGCAGTTTGTTAGACATGAATTAAATATTAATTTGTGTTGGGAAGAATTAACTGTGGAGATAGATTTTGATATAGCGCTCTGGAATGGAATAAACATAGTGTCTCCAGGATGTCGTCTGTTGGGATCTCATTTCCATTTTACTCAAGTAAAATCTTTAAATATTGACAAAGATTATTTTATTGTTATTGATATTCTTGAATTTTTATATTAATACAGAGCATTGTACGATTCATACAAAGTTACCAATTAAGAGGAACTTTGGAAAATCTTGATGTTATACGCGTAGTAAGATTGGTACATAATATTTTTATACACCTAACTCCAGTTAAAAGTATTTTTAAAGCTATTTTTTTATTTATTACATTTTTTAATAGATCATGGCTCTTCCATACTTGCCACACAATAATACTGATGGACTACCCCTTGATTTCAACATCCGTAGCGGCTTTGAAGAAATTGTTGAGTTTGCTACATCATTAGGAGTTAAAAATATTATTCAAATTCTATTTGATTATGTAGAAAGATATTGGCTTGACACAATAGGTACAATTCAATTGTCTGTGTATAAGGCGGAAATAAGAACAAATTACTTTATTGAAAGTTTACATAGCATAATCCGTACCTCGATTGGTATTAATCCCCCATGCTGGACAATTTATGGTAAATATTAAACAAATCACTATCTTTAAATGTGGAGCACTTATTACAAATTTTGTTTTAACAGACCAATTAAAATATGTCGAAAATCGTGTACGTAGGGAATCAACACAAATTCTCACTGGTCATAGAGTAAGATACAATAACTAAAGATAGTCATTATAGTTTAAATAATAATAATATAAATATTAGATAAAAAAATGATTGTAATTTATTTTTTAGATTTATCGTTCAATGATCATTTGTAGAGATAGAAATCAATCTATTTTAAAGGAGGCTTGGCGGTTGGTTAGAAGCAATAGAATAACACTAATGGACTTTTTACATCGTGCTTCGTTGACCAATGCCAGTTACTTAGAAAGCCAATTGGGACCACTTCCCGTTGGTGAGTTATAGAGTATAGACTATAAAACTATAAAAAATGTATGCACCTACAATAATATATGTTTATTCATTATTTTATATGTTTATCATGTAGTCCCAGAAATTCCAGAGCCTCATATACTACTTTCACAATTACCCTCTGCAGTTCATCTGGAGGCACCTCAACGTGGTCTAGGAGAAATTGAACATCATAGAAGAGTAGCAAGAGTCCAAGGAGTTATTCAAGATAGACAATTTATTCAAGAACTTTCAGTTGATAATATCCCAAGAGCTCAACAAGAAATGCCAATAAATAACAGTGGTATTGAAAATATAAGACATGTTTAATAAATAATAATCATAACTTACAACTATGAAAGTTATAATAGATTCTTAGTAGCACCAGAACATTGATTTTGCTTTTGTATTTTGTCAAGCTTTGTGGAATAATTATACCACAAGTATCTCTTTAAGACTAGAATTATCCCTTGCTTTCAAATAATGCAGTAACAATATGTATATATATATTCCTGTTTTACAATGCTTTATAATTTTATTCATTATTTTTTTCTCCAACATTTCTAATAAATGATGATTGCTATGCAATATTACATCAAACCTATTTATAGAAGTTAACATAAAGTAATTTAATGATTATTGTTAATTATTTGTGAGGTAATATTCACCATAAACAATTAATTTATCACAAATACATGATACTAATGCAATTAAATTCTTTTAATGACATAAAAAGTTTACATAATCTACTAGACTTATTTTGCAGATATTGAGCAAGTTCCACTACTGATTACAAATAATGAACAAAATATAACTATTGAATTGAATGAAAATGTACAAGATGAAGCTGCAGGTATTATACTATTTCTAAGTATATTATATTTTATATTCATGTGAAAAATTTCATTTTTAAATTATTTTTAAAATACAAGCTTTTATTATATTTCCAGGTGAATCAATTTTGAATTGTTCCGTATGTTTGGAAGATATGCAAGATGTTGTAACATTTAGGCCATGCTATCATCAATTTTGTCTAGCATGTACAATACAATTAATAGCTAATTGGATTACTACATGTCCTCTTTGTCGTACCGGGGTAACTCAATATTATATTGATTTATAAAAATAACATACATAAATATATTGTATTTTGCTTTTCAAAAGTTTCAATGAAGGAATTAAGTATAAGAAAAAACTCATAAAAAAAAGTTAGACTATGTATTGTTTTAATTTAAAATGTGTAAACTATGAGGTAAATAATTTTGTGACAAATAGCTTTAAAAATATTATGCAAGCCAAGATCAGTTACTGATCATGTCCAATCAGCTGTTTTCAATAAAGGTTTCTTCACTAAGTTTTCACAAATTATATAAGACAAAAAATTGTAGTTACACTTTTAAATGACAACATCATGATTAATGTAAAAATATTAAAGACACATAGATGTACATTTATTTTATAAGCAAAATTTTTTTGTTGTTAAACATTTATAAAATGTTAAATTTTTATATCCAAAGCGCGACAATTTAAAATCAAGTTCCTCTTAAATTATTCAGTCTGTAACCAAGAAATATATACACAATTTTATTTTATAGTCAATTTAATTTTAATTTGTATTTAAATTAAGTTTAGCCATTTTTACCCAGAACATTTTGGTTGTTACATTACAATTTAAAAATATTTTTTGTGAGTTTTAAAAATTGTACGTGTATAATTGTATTTTAAAAACAAAACGACATTTTCAAATCATTTGGATTATTGCCTATTTATAGTGTATATCAGATTACTAATAGTTAAATAAATTAGTATAATTATTAATAGCAATGTATTTGTATAATAATAAACAATCTTTGTTTATAATCGTTTTCCGTATACAATGAATAATGATTTATTTTTGAATTCAAATTTAACTCATACCTTACATGATTTACTTAATGACAATTTACACCTACTATAAAGAAGGTTAACTATAAGGTTACCAACTTTCCTCCTTTTTCTTATTAATCTTCGTGCTTTAATATTAAATACCTACTAATATGGAATAATAATATTTACATCTAGAATAAATTAGTATAGAACTCTTAACAGCATGGGTTTTACTGGTTTATTTATTTTTATTGAACTTAAACCTGTGTGCTTGTTTAAAAGTCTAAATATAACTCATTTTCTTACCTACTTGGCTACTTATACAGTTAAAATAGTATGTAAATGTTTGTCAATTATTTATATTTGTTCTTAAATACGTTTACTTTAAAACTAGTTGAAATGTTTTTACAATATAGCTTTACCAGTTAACCACCAATTAAGCCAATCAAAAGGTCAATAATTGTGACTCTATAGATTGTTCATAAATGATGGAATATCTTTTTAATTGTAATTAAACAATTGACTCTGGGGTAGCCAGCTAGGGGGTAACCTCACTCAAGTAAGATTTTCAATCAACTAATAAACCAGGTGTTTACACCTTATCAATCCACCTTGGTTTAATCTATGAACTAATATATAACTATATTAACTATCTTAGTTCATGGTTTAATCACAGAACATATTATAAGGTCTATGGTTTCATCTATAGTTCCTTCGACCATATAAGCTAGGTATACCCATATAACCATATAACCTAACCTAACCTAGCTTATATGGTCGAAGTATAGTTCAAGTGATACATGGAGTGTCAACATCTGATTACCTGATAAAAGCATCTTGTGATTGCATAAAAGTTCACATACTAAATTCATGATGAGACATAACGTCATCTTAACTCTTAAGGTAATATTACATTAATAATTCTTGAAATACATATGTTATAAGGGTAAATGCATTTTAACCCTTTAGAAAGTTCTTCTTTTGCATATTATTATTTATTTACCAATAAATTTAGTCATCAATATTATTGTCACACTGCAGAATAGAATGGCTTGAACAAAAGAATCTTTAATGTTTTGCAATTGTATCAAAATGTATACTAAATATTCTTTCAATAACTGATATACTATTGCAATTTTTTTTTTTTTTTTCTAAATTTCTTCAAAAAGAACAATTTAAGATTATACTGTATCCACAAATTATCACTTCCAATCCACAACTTACAATATTTATACTTATACATAAGTCATTTAAATATTGTTAACTTTAATCATAATAATGCTTATCATATGCACTTTTTATTTGATACAGAATTGAAGAATTAAAAATTATTTGTGTTTACCAAATATTGATATGAATTAAAACCTTTGCTCAGCAATTCATAATTTAGTATCCTTTAGAAATTATAATATGATTATGTTCTTCTCTATCCATTACCCAAAATAGAGTTTCAGAGTCTAATGACAGTCAAAGATATCATTAATAATGTAATAACCAAATCATATATAATAATAATGTAGATATCATCGTTAAATGTAACAGAACACTCTTTTGATCACAAAACTATTATATCATACTGTAAATTATAAACATTTAATTAATTTAAACAATTTGCAGATGATCACTTCCTACTGCCATTGAAAAAAACACAATTTTTATCTGTACACTACGTGTACAACTTCATCTGAAAATTGGATAAAAATTTCATCTAAATAGATTTTTTACAAATTTCACTGTAATTACCAAAACAATTTTACCGATAAATTCCACATCTCTAGTTGTGTAGAACTTAATACAAACCACATGACTATCAGACTATCCATATTTTAAACACATGTCTTAACAAATATTAGTCAATGAGTTTTGACATTGATATCACCTGAATTAAAAGTATCTATCTAATCCAGGATTATAGCTCGAGTCGGCTCCTAAATTGCATGTACTAATGTGTTTGGCAGATGAAAGCAAAATGTTGATCATAAAAAAAATTTAACTTTCGCTTATATAAATAATTTAAGAGAACCCTAATAACCTATGTAGAATGTTGATAAATAATAAATATAATTTTAAATAGGTAAGTATGTTTAGTATGACATATAGATAAAAACAAAAGTGTAAGGTATATAATAATTATATAATGGTAAATCAAATAGGTATTAAATATAAAACACCGTGACATCGCCACATCGTTTGTAAAATAATATAATTATTATATTATACCATATATAGTTCGCCATTGTCGTCAAAAATTACGTATAGAAACTTTAAAAACCGGACGGCATCCGTGTCCTGCAGGACTGTTATGCTAAAGCGCCATGTAGCCCACAGTTTATCTCGGGCTACCCGTGTCCGAGGATCCAACCACCGCAATACAGTTCTGGTATGTTGGTACGATAGACTTGATGCTGCTGTACGCAAACTTACCGCCGGTGCGTTCTAGCACGCACAGCGTGTCATGGCACAGGTCAGACAGGTTGTACGTTACGTTGGCGTCCAGGCCGTCCGTGGCGATCACACTGGTGTCCTGGTATCTGTTGATGGGTGACAACAGGTGTCGGTAATAGGGCACCAGGGCTGGGCCCACGAGTCCTTTGCGGCCGGCCGACGACAGCTTCTGGAGGGACTTGAGCGCGCGCACCGTAGTCGGCCAGTCACGTGGACCTACGTCCAGAGCCTTGCGGATCGGTAACACGGTCTGGGGAACGGCGGACAGCACGCGATCACCCAGGCAGTCCGCGGCCAGCAGTTCCCACAGGCCGAACGTTGCGCACGCCCCGTACGGCTTGGGCCGTTCGCGCAGTCCATCAGCCAGTACGGGCAGGTACACATCGTAGTCCACCGACTCGGGTGGCACCAGCCACCTTAATCGTTGACCGTCCACCACCCCTTGAACCGTGGCCAGTGGAAATCCTAGCCGGCCATAGGCGATCGCAAATGCCGTGGACCTTGCTGGGGAGCGATCGGCCGTCACAGCAGGTGAACTAGATGTCGCCGTATTTTTTTGTGACCACTTCGAGGATAACGGCAACAACTTCTCGTTGCACCGGAATCGTCGGTGACGGGTATTTTCTTCCTGTTCTCGAGCGTTCATTTTCGTTACATGTATTGCGTCAATGGTTTTTGTAGTAGTCGTCATTACTATCGTCATTGTTTACACTCACTGCGCCACTCGTTTCATAGTGACCAAAGTTTTTTCGATCACTTATCACTAGGTACCTAATCGATTCGTGTATACTATATTTGTAATTAAACGTCAAATCAACCAGTAAAATTCAAATAATCAAGACTTAATTTTGCAATTAGTTATTTCTGAAAGTTCTGTTCAAACGTTTTTTCAACAAGGCTAGGCGTTAACGAATCAAGTACATAATGAGTTAAAGTTAAATAACTTTTAACTAAGTTACGTAAAAAATTTTTTTTCTCTAACTTAACGAGTTGATACTTTTTCAGCGATACCTATGTAGTACCATATCAGTACCCCGGCACCTCAACCGAAACTATTTGCTTTAAAATTGGTAGCATACTACTTAACCAATTCGTAATCATTCATAACAATCATAATCAAAAATTTGGAATTCGAAACTTGAACCCCTTCGCACAAAAATCGATTTACCCAAACAGGTGCTTGTTTACGACTTTTCCTAAAAGATACATGTGAAATACATCTAGAGCTTAATTAAATTAAAACTCTTTGCAAATGTGTTATAAAAGTAAGAATATAATAAACCAATATTGCATTTTTTTTTTTACAATATCAAATTGTTACATTCATATAATAAATTAAGCATTTCTGATACGCTGAATACATTATTATTTTATTTTTTCTAATAAAATAATAATTCAATTATTGAGTGTTTAATAGTTTTAGTATTTATAATTTATTTTTATTGATGCTACCGTTAGTGTTTAATGTTTATTTTACTCTACATAATATTAGCTTCTATTATGGTATATTCGTACATTTATGAGACTATTATATTTATAGTGTTACCTACTTAGCCTATAGGTAACATATTTGTGTGTTATAATCAATTAGGTAGGTAATAGAAATGTTAATTTTGTTTGTAGAAAAGACGACTAAAAAATCCTGTTATAGAAAATGTATTAGCACCTAAAAAGGATCTAAATATTAAGACTATTGAAAGCTTATTTCTTCGATACCTTCTTTGTCTTTTACTTCCAATGTAAGAATAAATGACACAGTTGGTTTTGTAAGCCGTGTGTTGCCTATCTCATAGAAATATTTATACAATTATAAATGGTATATTCATACCCGATATTACATTTAATTTTACTCCCTAAACCTACACCCCTCAAGGAACAACATAGGAAAACAATACCTATTAAATTTGTTCTATAAATATATATAAGACAAAAAGAAAATATTTATATTATGATCAATCTTACAAAATACAACTTCATATCACTGTAAAGTTATAAGGAATTGTAACAATTTATAAGTAATAACTTATTCGAAGATCCCTGGTGGTTGGGGTTAGAATAGACCACCGGTTTGTCCCTGCCTGTCGTAAGAGGCGACAAATGGGACTTGTAGGAGGGCAGCAGCTTCTATAATATTGAGTGTAGGTGCAGGTAACCTCGTAGAGGTAGAAACAGCTACACGTCAAATAATAAACAGCAGATATGGCAGCCATATAACTGGTTATTACACTGCGATGCGGAAGGCAAATAGGAAACCACCGCATTAATATTCCTTAGTTAAAGCAATGAACATGATGTTCTCTCAAGTAAAAGATTCCGGAGGTAAAATAGTCCCCCGTTCGGATCTCCGGGTGGGGACTACTAGAGAGGAAAGAATGGTCAAGAAAAGTAGACAAGATAGAAAAATAGCAACCTGGAATGTACGAACCCTATTACAATGTGGGAAACTGGATAATCTAAAAATAGAAATGGCAAGGATGAGCATTGATATTCTAGGAATTTCTGAAGTAAGATGGCCTGAAAATGGAGATATATGGAGTGGATATTATAGATTTATATACTCAGGCACATCTGTTGAGAACCCTGGAAGGGGAGGAGTTGGCATAATGTTTAGAAAGGACATTGGAAAGTAAGTGAAATGTTATGTGCAGTATTTTGAAAGGATTATTCTTGTTAAAATAGAAACCAAACCAAAAGACACAATCATAGTACAAGTCTATATGCCAACCTCCAACAGTAATGATAGCCAAATAGAAGAAGTATACGAACAAATAGAGAAAGCTATTGATACAATCAAAGGAGAAGAAAATCTGATCATCATGGGAGACTGGAACGCAATAGTAGGAGAAGTAAAAGGAGAAAGAAATATTATGGGAAAATATGGTCTGGGAAAAAGGAATGATCGGGGTGATAGACTGGTGGAATTTTGTGCAAAACATGATCTGATAATAACGAACACATGTTTCGATCATCACCCAAGGAGAAGGTACACATGGAAAATGCCAGGAGATGTGGGAAGGTATCAAATTGATTTCATCATGGTAAAAAATAGATTTAAAAACCAAGTCAAAGATAGTCGGAGTTATCCTGGTGCGGATATAGACAGTGACCACAATTTGGTCATGATGAAATGCAATCTCAATTTTAAAAAAATTAAAAGGAGAGGAAACACCAATCGATGGCAAATTAGTAAACTAAAGGAAGGAAAAGTAAATGAAAAGTTTAAAGAATACACAAATAAAATAAAAACACAAGAAGAACAGGACATTAACACCAGGTGGACTTCCTTGAGAGAAACAACTACAAATGCAGCAACTGAGATAATGAAAGTAACAAAAAGCACATTACCGAGGAAAGAATGGATAACACCAGAGATTATTGAAATGATAGAAGAGAGAAGAAAGTATAAAAACTTAAACACTGATGAATATCAAAAGAGATACAGGACTTTAAGAAACTTGATCATAAGAAAATCAAAAGCAGCAAAAGAAAAATATCTAGAAGGAAAGTGCGAGGAAATAGACATTTTGATGCGAATGGGCAAGATAGAGGAAGCATATAAAACAGTAAAAAGGTTCTTCGGAGTACGTACACTCAAAAGTGGAGCAATAGAAAATAAAGAAGGAGAGATAATTTATGAACAGGAACAGGTTGTAGATAGATGGAAAGAATACATAGAAGCACTATACAAAGAAGAAGAACTGTTTGATACAGACTTAGAAAAGATAAACGACAATGAGCAAGATGAAGAATATGTAGAATATCCAGTATTAAGAGAAGAATTTGACAAAGCACTAAGAGACTTAAAACCAAAGAAAGCACCGGGAATAGATGGGATCCAGGCCGAACTTTGGAAGGAAGCAGGAGAAAATATGCTGAATGAATTATTTAAACTCATTAGAGATATTTATAGAACGGCGGATATACCTACCGACTTTGTAAAGAGTGTAATTATTCCCATACCAAAAAAGACATCAGCTATAAAATGTGAACAATATCGTACCATTAGCTTACTATCGCACGCCTCAAAGATTCTAACAAAAATTATGTATAAAAGAATGGAAAGGAAAATAGAAGACACATTATCAGAGGACCAATTTGGATTTAGAAAAAATATGGGCACGAGGGAAGCGATATTGGCTTTAAGATTAATAGTGGAGAAAAGAATAAGGAAAGATAAGTCAACGTTTATTGCCTTTGTTGATATTGAGAAAGCATTCGACAACGTTAACTGGGAAATAATGTTTAAAATTATGAAAAGAGCAGGAATTGCAACAAAGGAAAGAAAATTGCTCTACCAACTGTATAAAAATGAAATAGCAATTATAAAAATAGGTGATATTCAAAAAGAGTCCAAAATAAAGAAAGGTGTTAGACAGGGATGTACATTATCACCTTTAATATTTAATGCCTATATACAAGAGGCCATAGATATCATAAGAGAGAGAATACAACTAGGAATAAAGGTAAACGGTTACAGAATAGACATGTTGAGATTCGCAGACGATATTGCAATAATAGCGGAGAACGAAAAAGATCTAAAAACACTTTTAGAAACATTGGAACAGGTGATGGAAAAAGATTTACATATGAAAATAAACACAAAGAAAACGAAAGTACTCGTATGTAGTAGATACAACAGCATAAGAACAAGTATAAAATTAAAGGATGGTGAAAATATTGAACAAGTAGAAGACTTCATGTATTTAGGCAGCACTATAAGCTCAGATGGGAGATGCAAAAAAGAAATTATAAAAAGAATATGCCAAGCTAAAGTGGCATTTAATAAGAAAAGAAATATTTTTACTTCAAAAAGCATTGACCTCAATATCAGGAAGAATCTGCTAAAAACGTACATCTGGAGCATTATGTTATATGGATGTGAAACATGGACTATTGCAAGAGAAGAAATGAGAAGAATAGAGGCGTTCGAAATGTGGTGTTACAGGAGGATGCAAAAGATAAGTTGGACTGATAGAATCACTAATGAAGAAGTTTTAGAAAAGGTATCGGAGAGGAAATCAATGTGGAAGAGTATACAGAAAAGACGAAACGAATTAATAGGTCATATTTTAAGACATGATGGGCTGCTATTACTAATCTTAGAAGGTGTAATCGACGGAAAAAACCATAGGGGAAGACCAAGATTGCAATACATAAGCCAGATAATGGAAGATCAAGGGTGTAACTCATACCATGAATTGAAGAGAAAAGCTAGTGATAGAGAAGCATGGAAATTGCTGCAAACCAATCATTAGATTGAATACTGCAGAGAGAGAGAGATTCGAAGATATTAAGTACAAATATTATGGGTAATATTTTGCATCAGAAAAACTGACAATTTACTAATTCACTTGTAAATGTTGCGTTCTCAGAGTTTCGATTCAAAAAATAGAAAGGATACAATAAAAAAAAAAAAATAGAAGAAATGATACTCTGTCCCGCTGCACAAAAAAAGAAATCGAGCACTGGTCATAGTATTTAATATTAGGTATTGATATTGTATATGGTACGTAAGATGTAACATATTCTGTAACATTATTTCGTAATTTATTTTATTGAGATAAACTCCATGAGGGGTTACTAGTTTACTACAGTAGTATTGAAAATTGAAATGATATGAATAATACGTAACATCAGTAAATATACAAATTACATTTGTTGAACATAACTATAAAAGTAACTGACATTTTTAGGTTAATGTGCGATGAATTTGTTTTTAGTTTTCATGCATAAATACATATATATTGTATAATGTTATTGTGATAGTTGTTATGTTACTCAAAATTTAAAAATAGTTATGATAAAATCCGAAGTAAAAGTATTTTGTACCTCAATAATATTTTGTATCTCTGTTCTATACTTAAAAATATTGAATTGCGCAATCATGCCTGTATTCTGTATAATTGGTTCTGAAGTAAAACTTCCTCTTAAAGTATGCACATTCAGCTAGTAAATATTGTATAGGTGAACAGTTTTTTTGACAGAAAAGCATTATATCATATTATGTTAATTTGAATTTTATAATCTTGTATTTGTATATCTAATCATTTTTTGCGCAACTATATTCATACTAGTTTAGCATAATAAAATACTTTAAATGTTTCATTTTGTTATATTTTCTGAGAATAAAAATTTTTTAAGGTAGGCAGGTACATATAATGTACATAGCAGATGTTTATGCAGAGTTGCATAAACAACCACTACAAATTTAACAAATCAGTAGAAAGCGAATGTCCCCTAAAAATGATTTAGTGGCCTATGATTGATCCATTAAATTTTATTGAACTATAAATGAAAACATTTGTTATGCAACCTGACACTATTGTTTTAGTTTTATTAATTTAATTAGTATTTAATGGTGTAGTTTCAATAATATTAATTATTATTCACCAAATTGAATCCTGAATATATCTGAAAAAATATGTTTATTAAAATCCTTTGTAAGATATGCATAGGCAATAGGTAGTAGGCTAGTTCTCAATGTGCATTGATAAGGTGTAATGATTTTCCCCTGGGTGTGACACCCGCCCGTCTAAGATAAAGTGAGCGAAAATTTTACTCCAATATACTGCTTACCCTATAGAGTATAATAAATGATAGTATTTGTATGGCCGTATGGGGATCTAAATGCTAATTTAATTTAAATTAGGTATTGAAGTTTTCAACTTTTTTTTCGTAAAAATGCGTTACAATATGATTTATCTATAAAGTATAAATTACAGTACATTTATTAATACATATAATTACTTAATTGTTCACGATTAAAGATTTTCTGGTTTCAAATCGAAACTGAATAACGCTATGTCCTACGTGAACCCGGTGAACGCGAACGAATTCTATTCTGACCATGCTGTTCTTCTCGCGAGCGAGCAACGAAATACAAGCTGTTTTATTTTTCGCCGCGTCGCCTACGTTCACGTAAGACATAGCATAAAAAAGTAGACGACTCAAAAATCGCGATTGAAATGAACACTAACTATTTTCCTTAAAATGTCATAAAAATATATTTTGTATCATATTGATTAAATTAAAATACCTACCAAACAACCAAATTTTAATATTAATCCTATGTACTTTAAACGTTTTTCAAGTATTATTTCATTGCTCGCAAAATGTTTACAGAACTTATAAATTAATATTTTTTAAATGAAAAGTTGGACTATTAACGCTATGCCCATCGTGAACGCGGCGAACCGCGAAGGCGAGCGAATTATATTCTGACAATGCTGTTCGTCGCGCCAGCGAGCGACGAAATACAAGCTGTTTTGTTTTTCGCTTTCAGACACAGCGTAAGACATTTTAAAAATAAAAATTTCTTATTTCATAGACATTTTTAAAAACATCAAAAAAGGCATTTCTTTGTGGCTTGCGCTGCAACAAACCTTAATACATACTAAATAACAGGAATGTTTTACGTATTGTTGTGCCCGTAATTCTTAAGGTTCAAAATCCGTAAGCTTTTGAGACAAAATACAACAAGTCCCAAGTGAACCGACGAAAACGTTTATCAGCAAAAAATAAAGTACCTATATGTGTATAATAACGTGTGTGCTTGACGAGAAGTTGCTCCGGTCTTCGTGGCTATAATACATCTGATCAGGCTGCTCTACGAGCTAGCTCATGAGTGGTGCGGCAGTCGGCTCTTTTGATGTAGCAGCTAGTGCGGCTTGCTGGTGTGGTGTTGTTACTTGTTTTTGGTTATTATTGCCAATTCCTAGAAAAACAGCCTACATGATTTCTTATTGGTTCACCTGTCCGATGATGTATGATATAATAAGAGGCTAATCACTACTATAAAAAATAGTACTGTAGTGGTCCAGCCCACAGATCGTGGTGTATAAGACAAGAGATGATGAGGTGTAAATAATTCTAAGTCAATTGTAGAATATTATGAACATAGACTTTATTTTGACATGTAAAACTGATAGAATATTTTTGGTACACTGAAATTTGTCAGAGAGTCGACTGGCGTGAAAGTGCTCGTACTGGCTCTGGTAAATCACGTCTGAATATCGGGTGGATGTGTCCCTGTTTTATAGGCCTACTCTCCACTCTTCTCCTAGCGATGAGATAGCGCTGACCCCGTTTACTATTGCACGTGTGCGTGGTCGTGGGTTTCCAGGAAACGGTTGCCCGGTCGTGTCGGTCAAGAGATTAGAGTAAAGATATTATAATATTATATTTTAACATTTTTATAGATGTTTCACGTTTTAACTCTTTTCATTCATATTTTCGCAACGCACTTTCGGTAGTCGGATTCTCAGAACTACGCACTCGATTTCTTATTGCGTCGTTGTTCTTAAATCCCCGAGGTCGACAACTTCCCAATGTGAATAATCTCATATTATGTCCCCCTCGCTATTTAAGCCTTTAAAATATATGCGTATATGGCGGGACGTCAGTACATAGCAGTACATTAGTTATTACTTGTTTTTAAAGTAGTCTTTTGCATTGAGAAAGGTTAATATTAAACTCGTACACTATTTCGTAAGGACAGCGGTTTCGGTAATAGTCAATACATCGTAAAAGGTCGATGTACCTATTCTATAATATTTTATTATTATATGCGAAGATTTGGATTAAGGTAAGCAACAGTATTATATTTAATCGTAATGGACTTAATGAACTTATTTGAGATAAATTTCAACTGTTAAATATTTATAATCAATCATTAATATTATCTACTGTATTTACAGTGTCGTGTTTTAATAGGTAGTGGTGTTTGTTCTCTGGTATTAGGTGATTACTAAGAAAAATCTTTTTTCGTTTTGAATATTTCGTGATATTACAATGGCAATAGTTCTTAAGCGAATCACCTTGTTCTTGCAAGCGGTCCATAACATATTACATACTGCAGTATCGCAGCCGTTCTCTGTCTATGCAAATCATAGGCCATTGGCCGTGGTATCACGGTTACCTGCCTCATCAGAATTGATAGTGTCTGATACGCAACCTGTCGTCCTGGCTTTATGTGGCAATAGTCGTGGCGTCGACGTTTATTACTATTATTATCATTTGCCGTAACATCCCTCTTTATGCGTCGCTACGATATAGTGATAAGTACCTACGCAATACGCGACAACATGTCGGTAGTTCGTTTTTGTCAGTTAAATTGATTACAATATTTCTAATTAGCGACTATGAAAAATGTATATTGAGTAGTGAGAGTGACTTTCCGGCGTACGCAGTAGAATAAACGTCGACACATTATTGTGCCTTTTCATCGTTGTGATAATCGCGAGCAGTGTGCAATTGTATGACCATTAACTAATATATGTTAGTATTTGTGTATGACTTATAGTGATTTAAGTAAGTTACCTACCAATTATTGTTGTACGTTATCCAATTAAATTTCACTCATATACCATGTGTTAAGCAAATGACTATGGCGTACTGTACTTACATTTGTGATAAAAGTAAGGTATTTAACCAATTTTCTGTATTGAATAAAATATATTGTGTACTCCTTATGCCGAAGGCGATAGAGCAATCAGAAATTGGTTCGTATGTTAATAAGATGTTAGAACTTTGAGTTAGGCAACTGGAGCTGATGGGTCTAGGAGTGACTAGGTACTTGTTATAGGTAACCTACCTCATTTGCATAAGTGTTGGATGCTGTAAATTATAGTACTTTCATCACCTCTACACTTATTATCCAACACTTGAATTTCTCACTTTTTACTCGTGTTATTCAAATATTTCTATTGAGCTAGATGTTTAACCTTTAATTTTGGTACTACATAATAAAATTGGTTTATTTATATGATTTATAGCTTTTCGTAGCTTAATAACTTCAGTATTGCAACCTCGATTATGATTTGAGTGTTTTAATAATATTGGTTTCTTGTTCAACTAATTACCAATAAGATGGGAATTTTGGTATTAGGGATGTAAATAAGTAATTTCCAATGATTGATGTTCATTAGCCAAACATGTTATTAATTTAATAAATATATTTTTGTACAACAGACGTAAAAATGGTAGAATATTCAAATTCAGAATTTGCTACAATGCTAAAGCTCTTACAAAACTCTCAGAGTGCAATACAATCATTGTCTACTTGGTGCCTTATACATCATAAACATTACAAAAGCATAATCATTATCTGGTTGAATACTATAAGGAAGGTGAAGATCAAGAGACGTTTGACTTTGTTTTACTTAGCCAACCATGTCATACAATACAGCAAGAAAAAAAATTACAAATTTTTTGTTAGATGGAAAATTGCTATTCAAAAAGCAATCCCCTATGTCCGGTAAGTTATGTTACGTAGTTACTACATTTCTATATCAATAACAAGTAAGAATATTATGCTTTTTTTAAATTAATTTATTAGAAATGTGTCAGCATAGCTATATATTGCATGTTCTTATTAGTTTCACAATTTAATTATCAATAATTGCAATAATATGTACAATATACTTTAAAAGTTATTTAAATTTATTTTGTAGTTGTAATTAGTTAAATTTATTCTTCGTCTTCTTTATCATCTGATAAGAGAAGGTTCTGTTTTTTTTAGTTCCTACTTGTAGAACTGTGTTAAGACTGTGTTATTGGAAATGTGAAGGCTCTAAGACTTGTGTGGTAATTTTTAAATTGAGTTCTTATTCAGTCTTAGAGGAGAAGTATTCTCATGCCGTTGTAAATTTGCCTATTCTTCATAAACAATGGGGCCTTTATTCATATCTTCAAAACCTTGCTTTGGAGGATTAAGATTTGGATTTTAAGCACTGGGCATCCATAAGTATGTGATAAGTGGACAACTTATTAAGGTGTACCTAAAGTAAGCTAGATGATTTTATTAGAAGCATTGATTTATACTCCAAATTATACTTGACTAATGGATAAAGGATACCCATTCTTGCATAGTATTATGCAAGTTTTTTATTTAAATTAATTTCACTATTCATTTTTTTTGTCCAGGTAGTGTTGAGTCATCTTAAATATTCCATTCTATGGCTTGATTTTCTATGTGAATGAGCTGGAGATCTTTGTACTGTTTAAGGGTAAAGATTTTTGTTACACTTTTAGATTCAGATTAAGTTTTTGTTTTTTGAACCAGATGGTTACTATGTTTGCTGTTTAGAGATAATTGAAGATTTCAGGGAGTTATCTTGGGTTATTATTTTTGCATTGTCAACAAACATTTCCAGTTGAAAGTTTGAAGGATTTGGAATACCTATCATGAAGTTAATACATCAAATTTTTTTTTAGTTTATCAACCTGAAGATTGGTTTTTAACAAATTGTTCACAATAAATGCGTTTTCCATCTTTCTGCCTTGAACTATTCCCATTATTATCCATTTGCATTACGATGCTGGTTTTTTCCTATTTAGTATTTCTTCTACAGACTGGACTATAGATTCATTTATGCGATGCCATCCATGTTATTTTATTTTTTTGTTTATTGCAATCATCCATCTTTGGCTTAATTTGGTTTAAAGTTTTTCTCACAAAATAAATGCAATCACATTTTAAAATGAACTTTTATTTCATATTTTAATTTCACTGTTTTTTTTTAGAGATGAAACAATACAATTTCAAATTTCAAGAATTATTAAAATCTGGGAAGAACGAGATGTATATGATGTTAGCTATTTAGCTGATTTAACTCGTTTATTAACTACACCAATTCATAAATTTAAATCAACTAATTCTGTACAAGAGATTCAAGTAAGAACTGTTTGAATATTTTATTATAATAATTTAACAAATGAATCAACATCATATTACCTAAAAAAATTATTTAAAACTTTATGTACCTACTAAGTTTATATATTTCACAAAATTACAACATTGCCATATTTTGCTCATCTACGTATGTGCATAAAATAGCTCATAATATTCTAATATTATATTTTTTATTTTATAAGACACTTATAGGTATTGTCACAATTAATTCTTAGGGTTTCAAAATATATAGTTTTGATTTGGAGCGGAGAGATGAATGTATTGATTTTACAATGACGGCTGTTATTTTTATTTTTTTTTTGTGTTTCAACACGGCTTGAGTAAGCAGTAAATGTGCTTTGATTTTTTTCAACAGAAATTTTCCGGTATAAAAGTAAATGTAGTTGGTGGATATGATGGAAGGTCAAAATTTAAAATTCCCAATAGTTTTCAAAAGTGACCGGAAAAACAAACCAAAATTTATCCTAGACTGACTTACTATCTCAGCTCAGAATCATTTTTTGAATACAATAATATTATATCATTGAAATCAAATGATAACTATTTGTTACAGCAACCTTCTAGTCGCTTAGTGTATAGCCGAACGACATCCACTTGCCTGCTTTTTTTTTTACATTACATTTTAGCAAAATAAATACTTCACAGATAGATACTTAATAACTAGGGCTCGGATGTTTATGCACTTAAAACTACTGTAATATGCATGCATTTATACACTAAAATTTTATGAAATATTCTAACAAAATATGAGCTAAAAATTATAAAAAAATATACATTTTTAGTCAATAAAAACACCAAAATATGCACAAAAAATTGTATTACAATTCATAAAATAAAAATATTATATTTTTATTACCCAGTAGTTATTTGTATACATTATTTTTTTTTTACTAAAATTTAAAATATATTTTTCAAATGTACATAGTGTTTTATTTACTTTAATTTATATTATTATTTATTATTTATTACATTATTAGGGTTACACTGTGCTACTATGGTTTTTTTAATTTGCTCAAATTTATGACTGCGTCTGTTATCATTAAGTAAGTTTTTGTAGCATGAAAAACTTTGTTCTACACACAGATATATAAAACAACTAGATAGCCGACTTCCTATACAACACCGCAGGAGGGCATGAATAACGCCGCCATATGCAAAGCTGGCAATGTTTACATTGTTTACACGTTATCATTGTAATGATAACGTGTTATTTAATTTTAAATATTATTAAAATAATTAATAACAATTTGCTTCAGTAGTTACATAAATTTAATTAAATATTTAAAACATTGACTTTAAAATGTAATTAATATTATAAATATCCCACTAAACAACATTTTATGTGTGACATTGGGTATAAAATAAACATAAACGATAATGCAGTTTAACAAACATTTTTAATTTTTTTCTAATACTTGAGATGAGAAAAGTAACAAAAAGTAAATAGACTTAAAAATAAATATCAAATACTTAGTTTTTGTTTAATTCAATACAAAAATTATAGTATTATAACTTGTACAGTATTATATACATTTGTGCTATTAAACTTTACAAAAAATACTTAATAATTAATAGGTATTTATTGGAATTATATCATAGAAAAACATCATTATTTATAGTTATTTATGTACAACATGAATAATACCTAATAAAAACATACATTAACATGATTAACTACTTATTTAACAAAAAGATACAATATTTAAACATAATTAAAAGAATAACATACAACATTTAACTATAAGGCATAGAACAATAAATAATTAATATGCATTATTGATGAGAAAATAATATTTGTTTAGTAAGTGTATGACGCTTGCTATTTGGATTCAAGATATTAGAAGAAAACATTTTTCCATAAGATTTGAGACGGATACTTAAAAATCTGTTAGTAATTAAAGTAATAAGTACAATTTTGTGTGGTCTATCTAATATCGAAATATTTTCACAATTTAAGTCCTGAAAAATGCTGTGATCTAAAGAAAATTTATTTATGATTTGACGTAATATTATAATATTTAAGTTGGGAAAATTTAATCTTTTTAAATTGTGAGTATAGTATAAAAATAATTTTTCAGTTTCTATAATAATTTTAAATGCATCTTCTGATCCTGATATTAACCCCCCTTTGTTTTTTAAATTTAGAAATTGAGAAACAGATGAATGAGTATAACTATGGTCACATATTTTTTGAAATAAACATGTAATACATGAATTACAACTCAAATTATTTACAATTCCTCTTATGATATATCCTAGAATGTAATATAAAATATTATTTTTGGCTTCTGCTAATGCAGTATTTAAAGTATTTAGTAGTACTAATCTGTTACAAATGTCCTCATCCAACTCTTCAATACATGTTATCTCATCAATATCATTTTGCCTTCTGTACCATTTAAACTCAAAAATCCCTCCTGAAATATCGTCATCAAATACATTACAGTTTCCATTAGATTTACACTTTATATAATTTTTAAATAAAATTTGTTTTATAGCTGTCTTAAACTGCACCACATTAGGGTTGTTATTTGATCCATAGCGTTGTCTAATTTGGGCAAAGAATAACTCAAGGTGGTCCTGGGAAAATTTATATGTTAAAATATAATTCATATTTAATGATGAATAATGTTCTGAAAATATTGTTTCTGCTATACTGAAAACTGATTTAACAGCAATAGCAAATCCAATTATAAAAGTTTTTTTATTTGATTTATGTAAATGAGTATTATTAAATTTTAAAGAGTACAGATATTTAATTAAGGGGATTATAATATTTTTAAGTGAGCTAATATTATTTCTAAAAATTGGAGATTTTAAACCTTTTGAAAATGAACTTTTTGAATTAAGGAAATCAAAAACTCTGTCAACAACTCGACAGTACTCAACAGTTGCTTCAACATCAGCAAAACCAGTTACATTGATTTTGTTTAAATATTCTAAAGCATCAGCAGTAGAAGAACTTAACGTTTGAGCAGCGTTTTTTACCTTCATCTTATTATTATACCAATGAACATGAGCTGAACTAATTTTATTACTAAATTTAAAAGTTATGTCATTTTGTACACTATGTAAATATAAAATATGTGCCCATTTCACATTTCCTTTATTTGACTCGATGAATTTACAATTTCCTAATGTATTCCTCGTTAATTTTAAATTGTGACAGGTATCTGGTATAAAGTATACTTTTTGATCATTTACTGGGTGAGAAAACCAGCATTTTAATTCTTCGTAACTACCATCCACTACACATCCTAAATGTTTCATTGTTGATATATTGGTATATGCTCCATCACAAACCACACCCCAAACTTTAAGACCGGCATTATGTGTTAGAGTTAGGGCTGTTTTAACTAATTCAGCCTGACTAATAGCAGATATTTTATTTTGAAAAAAATACCCAATAGGTAATTTCCATTTGATATTTTATTTTGAAAAAAATACCCAATAGGTAATTTCCATTTGCCATTAATACTAATAGCCATAAACACTAACACTTCTGTAGCTCGGGTTTCATTACCTTCAATATCTAAATTGTTTCCAAAGTCACAATATCCTAGAAACTTATTATTTTTATCGTTCCAAATGATTTGTTTTCTGATGGACATGGCATCAAATGCTATAGTACAATGCTTATCATTTTCATCCAATGTTTGTAGAGAATCCAGTACTTCTTGCAAAAATCCAGGTTCGCAATTTAATGAAGATGTCCAGTTTCTTATGGATTTTGCATGAGGAAGCATTAATATTGACCTGTTAACATAATAAATATCTTACTTATCAGTATCAGTATTACTATAGTAAAAGCATTATTAAAAGAACTAATAAGAACTAAACTAACCGTGCATACTCATAAGCTTTAGGAGAATAGTAATTCAATGTAAGCGAAAATTCTTTTATAGTTTTACTATAACGTCTACCTTTTGGTTCGATATTTTGATTTTTATGAATGTTGGAAAATAGTTCTTGAGAGAGTACGCCAAATTTGTCTAACATAAGTTCTTCAGATTCCATGTTTAATACTTTTTTGTCTTTTAGTAACTTTAAAAGACCTGCTAAAGTATTAATTTTAATATCTTTACGTCTGATTTGTTGCTTTAATAATTTAATTGTATTAGCTTGCTTTATTATTTTATTTTTAAGTACTAATTTTGAATGAGTTGTTTTTCGATAAGGTGATATTGTTATTTTACATTTAGAAGGAGTGGAGATTAATGAATATTCTTCTTCAGCACTTTTAAAACACAAATGTCTTTTTGGAGTATGACATAATGGTTCATCTTGAACTGATGTAGAGAGTTCTGAAGTAGTTAATTGACTTGTAGATGGTTCACAAGTTTCTGATCGATATATTTTGGTTGGTGTTTGAATAACAGTCATGTTGAATATTGATGGTACAGCATTATCACACAATAACAATTTATATGTACCACCAACTGGTGTTTTAAAATCAGTTTTCAAAAAATGTTTATCACACAATCTTGAATTTTTTGTTGGAGTAAAGCCTTTTCGTTCAACAGCTTTTATCCACTTAGCATTGCGCTCAGGATTTCGCAATGGAAATCTGTAAAAGAGCAGTTGTCTGTGATAAATAGTTTGAACAACGTAATTTATTTTAATATAAGAAGTACTTACGTGAAAAAATGATTTTTAGTGTCTTTAGTTTGTCTGTTTACACAGCCATGTGCAGAACACGATGCTACCATAATTAAATAAATATAAAAAGTAGGTATTAAAGTTTATAAAAATATTTAAAACTCATAACATTACAAATTAAAGCGTACTGAAAATGTCGGTTTCACAAAAACGAGTAAAAACTAAAAAACGTATGAAATTTTGAATTGTTTGTGGTTATTATGAATTATGATATGATTTTCAGTGATAAGGTGTATAATGTAAACATTGCCAGCTTCGCATATGGCGGATTTGCTTCAATATTAAGATCGAGTCGGCTATCTAGTTGTTTTATATATCTGTGGTTCTACATCAACTGATGTTATTAGAGCATATTTGAAAAATGCAAGATCCTCAACCTTCAAATCTTCTTCTATTCCTTCCATAGTATCAACTCCACCGGAATGTATTTTTGAAATTTGTACCAAAGTTTTAAATCCTTTATTTTTTCAATTACGTTCTGAAATTTGTTGTAAATTTCTTTTCCTACTTTTCCATTAGCCATTTTGAGGGTTTCTCTTGTTGACAACTTCAATTGATTCGAGCAAAGTCAGTCCTGATGATTCTAATTTAGTTATGTTGACTGGTAAAATGTTGTAGTTCGTTAATTTAAATTATTTTTTAAAAAAATGTAATAAAATAAGCAATTTTGTTTTTAAAATCCCAAAATATGCAATTAAAATACAAAACTATAAATATGCAAAAATATGCAAAATAAAAATAGTATTATTTGATTCAGTAGAATATGAATAAAATTTGTATCCAGGTCAGCATTAAATTGGACAAATAGAAAAAAATATGCAATTTCATAAACATCCGAGCCCTATTAATAACCTTTATAAGATGGCTAAGTACATAATATTTATTAAGGTATTCAATTTTTTGGATCAAAAATCAAAAATTATTAAAAATTTTCTTTTATTACCTATATACTATAATTTTTCATAAGAAATATCTTAATTATATACTTATCTTAGATAAATATCAAGTTGATATTTTTTGTGTTTATAAGCGTTCTAAATATATGAGTTTGACACTCAGTTTATACACTGTCATAGTGTAGCACAATTTCATAAAATTGCTTCTGCTCCAAATGTATGCTTAAGAGGTTGCTAAACTAGTATGTGTTATTTTTATAACTATTAATGTAAACTATTACAATTTTAAAATTCTCATAACAATATAAACATAATAATTTAAATACCATCAAAATATTTTGAGATTCCCAAATTAGTTTTTTATCTGACCTTATCGTTGATAGTAGGGTTTAAACTTAAGAGTTAAAAACACAAAATTGATTTTGCTACACGCAAACTTGCTAAAGATAGAGACAGCAAATGTGAGCTGAAGTTCCTTTAAAACAGTTTTTATTAATAAAAATGCTTTTGCTCCAATTTGTACTTGTTGACATTTTGTAAAAATATACATAATATGAAATTCTTCATAATTTAAAATAAAAATCCTTAGTAAAAAATATAAATAACAATTTTGTTTTTACATAAGTATGTAGTTTTATGTAAATTCAATTACTTAAATGAAATTATCATCCTGTGTACAGGTAACTAAAATACTAATCACTCTTAATGCATACTATATAATTTTGGTTTGAAATAGAAACATATTCCATTTTAAGTATGTTGTATTTTAATGGTTTTCTTCCAAGTTACTTGACAATTTTATTAATTTGATGGTGTACAGTGTACTGCTGATATTAACTTCTTACAGAATATTATATATTATTAATAATTACTTATGACTGATTTTAAAATAGTTTTTACTGTTATACATACATTTTAAAAATGTGAAATTAGAATTTTTGAAGTTGCTTAAAAGTGTTATTAATAAGTAGTTCTGTTAAATATATTACTGTTTTTAGATTGATGCAATAAAAACTAAAATACGTTATTGTGCTAAACTGGAACAGATTAATGGCTCGAAGATGAAAAATTTAACAGAAGCTATCTTGTCTTTTACTAATGAAGAAACTATACAGAATATGTTAAAAGGTAATATTCTTGTACTATGACATTACTGTAGTTTGGTATAGAGACCTTAGATGCTATGTTTTTGTCTACAGAGATTTATATTTATATGATTTGAAGAAATGTAATTTTATTCTTTTATTTATTTTATTTATACATTATAAACGGGTAGGTACCCTTTGGTATTAATAGTACAGAAAGTATATAAAGTTTTAATATGACACTAAGTTACAATATAAGAGTTAACAATAATTAGGATAGTAATAATATGAGTATGAATACAATAAAATAAAATAGTAATAATAGTGAATAATAATTAATTAACAATTTATGACATGAATTAATTTATACGATTTAATAATTTACAATTTGGTCAACAGATAAACACATTTCAACTTTAATATTTGCCTTAATCTTAATAATAATAATAATAATAATGGTATTTAATTTATTGCTAGATTTAAACCTAAATATACCTATTGTTTAAATAAATCACGTGACATAAAGAAGAAATCTATGTCATTCGGCTATAGCATTACATAATGATAGAGCTCTAGGGAAAAAAAATACGGAACTGTAGTTGTTTTTATAAAATGGTACATGGAACAGATTCGATTTTCTTAAATAACGATTTGTAGTTTTTTTTTTATTATTAATAAAAGCCTCGGCATCTAGGGCCATTGGCTACAACAAATGTATGGGGTTACATTGGAAGGTAATTGCTTAATATTAATATACAGATTATTTTACAGAAGGTTGATTAAATTAGAATTGATCATAAATGATATCGTGTTTTGAATGTTGGCTGGCTGAAGGGCTTCGGCGAGAATGTGTGGTACTGCTGCTTCCCGTTTTCCTCTCTCAAACTGACGGCATTCTGTATTGATATGCTTGATGGTGAGCTGTGTGCCACTGCTTGTACAAATAGGGGGGGTCTTCCCTCTTCATCAGATGTTGATGTGTTAACGATGAGTGCCCAATTCGCATTCCGTTGATTGCCGTTTCTATTTTCCTTGATATGTTCGGTGGGGAGGGCCATGCTAGGGTGGTGTGTTTGTTTTCATTGTGTTTTGTAGAACTTAGGTCACGTGTACATTGGCGAGCGGCGAGCGGCGAGCGTTAAGCGCCGGCGTCGGTGGCGGTGACGCTTGGTGAGCGACCAGCGGCAACGTGTGTACATTGAGGCGCGTTATTTTCATCAGCAGCATGCTATATTTTTATAAATTTGTTTTCAGTACATAGTTGTATTTTGACTGTTCTGTGCGTGTTATTACCGTATTATTTTGCGTGTTATTACGAAAAAATGTCGTTCCTCACAGTAGAACGTCTCTCGTTAATCTTGGATAATCCATTTTTACGTAAAAAGTTACTTAAAAAAAAAAGGGTTGCTGTTCATCCCATAAATCGCCGAAGAAAAATGTATGGAGAGTATCATCACTTGTATAATGACTTAAGGAAATCACCAGAGAGATTTTTCGAGTACTTACGAATGTCAGTTGAGACGTATGATTTTATTTTATGTAAAATCAGTCATCGTATTAAAAAGAAAACCACAAACTTCAAAAAACCAATATCACCTGCTGAAAGATTATACGTAACTATAAGGTAAGTAAATATTTAAATAATAAAACAAGGATCCAATGTAACACCACAAATGTGTTATTATTATAATTCAACCTTTATAAATAGTTATGACTCATAACTTCTTAACTTATAAATATACAACATATTAAAAAGTAACTTATAACATTATATACCATGTATTGCTAATAACAATAAAAAAAAACAGTCTTTTGTTTCATAATGCCATAATGGGCACTAACTATGATATAATATGTGTTGCTATTGTATTTAAAATGTTAACCTAGTGTGTTATTAACATTATACAAATGTTGATTAGTATCTAATGACATATTTCCACTCAGTATGTCAACACCTACGGTTGTGTTCATGTTCGGCACATTCCATTGGGTTTGCTCGCTTGTTTGTAAAGATACATTTTCTTCATTATTATATGGCCGATAAATTTGTCTTTGGACTGGTTGCTGAGATGATGTGGTTTGTATGAGTGATACTTCTGGATTACATGCATAACTATTAGATGAATAGCTTTTTCTTCTATAAACGTTGAGCACAGCATTTTGTATTTCACTTCTAAGTTCCAGTTTTTCTAGTGCTTGCAATCCATTTAAATAAGGCAAAAGACTTAATAGAAATTGAGCGTCTGGATTTTCAGGTTTTTTTTCACTCTCTTGTGCTTTTTGTAAAATGGCAATTTTTTGTTCTTCAAGTTCTATAATTTTTTGAGTATTGTCTCTTTCAATACGTCTTTTTTTAATATTTGGATTTATTGAGTGTTTGGTATAATAATTTGAAGTAGAAGTGGTTTGAGAAATAGACGTGGAGGGTGATAAAGCCTCAGCGTCAGCAGTTAATGGCGTATCCACTATTTCTATATAACTTTCATTATCTGAAGCTCCAGAAAATGATTTTTGAGAATTTTCTTCAATGCTTAAGTTTCCGGACATACTGCTAGGTATAATAGTGTCTTTAACAAACATCATCGAATTAAAAAATGGCCATTTGCTTCTGTATTCGCTACCACCGTCACCCGAACGACTTATTGGTATTTTTTGCAATTCTTTCCTGAACTTATCCTTTAAATTTTTCCATTTATCTTTTGCATCATGTCCTAAAAAATAATGGGTTACTGAGTGGTTTTATCATAAAAACACCTCTTAACAAAATTGTAGAGGAGAAGTATATCTGGTTCCATAAGAAATAAGAAGCCTGATTTTTGAAATTTTAATTTTAAGTCCTTAAAATCACTGTTTTAAAAACATATTATTCATTATTTACTAATACCTAGGTAAATTGTAAAATTGTAAACGAGACTGAGTAAAATACCTACATTAAACGATACACTTATTTTAGAACTATGTACTAAAAGTATACAGTAGGGGTGGGGTGGACCTCAGTTATAGAGTAGGTCAGTATAATGTGTGTGTTAAAATTCGTTTGATAGAGCATAGTAAATCGTTATTTTACGCGAAAATGTAAACACTCGTAAAATTTTTTTATGGAATAATCCTCAAATTTTTTTACAATTAAGCTTAACTTATGGACAACCTAGTGTTAAATTTAAATTCTTAGCTTTTTATAGTAAAATGTATAGGTATACATTTTTAACTACAAAATAGTTAGCAAATATTCATCATGATTTTGTAAATATTTGCACTTCAAACGCTTATAAAAAAAATTGTGCCTACATTTTTTAATAATTTTTGAGTGACAGTAAGAAAACTGAACAACTCGGGTGGAGTCTTCTATTAAATTCTCAAGTATTTTATCGATGCGGAATTTTTTTTTCAACATTTAAAAAAAAAATTTTAAAAATCGAATAATTAAAATGCCTATAAATAGATTAAAAATAAGTGAAATATTTTGAAAATAAAATTATATAAAGATAATCTAATTTGACTGGTCTATAAGTAACGTGACTTTTAAATAAATTAACTCGTTACTTAAAAAAAAAAATATTTATTATTTAGATATTATAACATATCAATTTATGGTTTTATATAGATATTTATCAACGGGTCTTTCATTTCGAAACTTGGCTTTTTCGATGCGAATGGGTGCTTGCACAATAGCTAAAATTATTCATGAGACTTGTCAAGCTATATGGGAAGAACTTGTTAATGAATTTATGCCAGTACCAACAAAAGAACACCTGGAAAAAGTGGCTATTGATTATTATAAACGTTGGGGATTTCCAAATTGCGTTGGGTCAATAGACGGAAAACATTGCCAAATTAAATGTCCTTCCCATTCTGGATCAAGCCACTTCAACTATCTTAAATATTTTTCTTTGGTTTTGCAAGGAGTTGCTGATGCTGATAAAAAATTTTTAACAATTGAAGTTGGCGCAAGAGGAAAACAGAGTGATGGTGGAACTTTTGCATCTTCAGAATTATTTTATTTGATAGACAACGATAAATTTAATATGCCTCCAGAAAAAAATTTTCCGGGGACAAATATTAAAGTTCCTCATGTGTTAATTGGCGACGAAGCATATCCGTTAAAGCCATACTTAATGCGTCCATTTCCTTCTCGAGGTTTAAATGCAGCTACAGAAAATTTTAACGATCATTTATCGAGAGCACGCAAATGCATTGAGTGCACTTTTGGTATACTTCGGCGGGCTAAATGGAGACTACTTGGAAAAGACATAGAAGTCAGCTCAAAGAAAGCTATTATCATTATAAAATGTATGTGTATATTACACAATATTATCAGGGAAAAAGATGGAAATAGTGATTTAGATTACTGCAACATTATGCTTGGCACAGGAAATACTTGGGAAAATGAAACAATGGTTCAACGAGCGAGAGGCGCAAATGCTCTTCAAAGAGCCAAAGACATAAGAAATGCGTTCGTAGATTATTTTTAAATATAAATTCAGTAGGTTATTATGTAAAATTGAATATTATATCTATAATATTTTATCTTATTTAATATTTTTATTGTAGTATTGCCAATACGCTTTAATTATTATTTTTAGTAATATGTGGAATTAAAATATTATCCAAAAAAACATGTCCAATGTTGTTGGTACATTTATTTTTATTTTTTTTTTATCGGTGTACAAGAAATTAAGAATAAAAATATATTCTTTTTAATAATGTTGAGGTAAAGGTAAATAAATGTAAGATGGATATAATATGTATAATTGATATGAATAACTGTAGTGCTCCGAAATAATTAATATTATTTTTTTCTGTCCTCTTGAGCTTTGACATAACGAGAGTTAATTGTAATTTGTAATATTATACATATTATTTAAAGAAAATAAATATTAGTTTATTATATTATAATATATTATAAAATGTATAATACCAGTCAATCCAGCGATTTTTCCAATTTCTGCCCATATTTTTTTATTCCTTTCACAATTTTTATATCCGGGATGTGTGTCATCCCAAAGACTTGGTTTTGTCTGCACCTCGGAAATTAAAATTTCC